GGGCCCGTGGATGGACAATGGGCAGGCCTGGGGTACACTGGGTCCAAACCCCGGCTCTACCACCGCTGCCTGCGGTGTGGTATGGGACAACCCCACTGCAGCGATGAAGCTTTGCTTCCCCCACCCAAAGACATGTCCACAGTTGTGCCCCGAACCAGTGAGCAGGACCTTCTTGTGAGAGAGTCTTTCCCTGTGATCAAATTAAGATGAGCCCCTATTGGATTGGAAGTCGTGGCTGTCACGTAGGTTCCGACTCGTGGCCGACCCTGTGTGCTGCCAACTAGGGCGCCTCCATCCGCATCCTTGGCTGAAGCCTTTACAGCAGCAGCAGACTGCCAGCTTTTGGATTCGCTGCGCAGCATCGTTTGCACCATACAGGGACCTCACTGAAGTGACAGAACAAAACAAAACCGCACCGCTATGAGTCGGGTGTGACTCACAGCCATCCAGTAGGGCAGAGAACTGCTCCTGTGGGCTTCCAGAACTGTCACTCTTTAAGGGAGTAGAAAGCCTCAACTTTCTCCCGCGGAAGGGCTGGTGGTTTTAAACTGCTGACCTTGCTATTAGTATAAGGGGACCAGATGTTAACACTGGTAACGTGGGACAAAAGAGGGACACCATTGGTAAAACTCATATCCTGGCGAAACAGCCACATGGCAGGCGAAAACCGTCTACCCTAGCTTGTCGTGCATTCTTTCTAAAAATCGGGACTTTTTAAAAATGCTGCGGGACGTGGGGAAAATTGTTAAAAATCGGGACTGTCCTGCCAAAAGCGGGACGTCTGGTCATCTTATTTAGTAACCCAACGTGCAACCACCATGCCACCAGGGCTCCTAAAAGTTAGGAACAGAACTAATTAACTCAGTGTTTTCCCAAATGGGGAGTCAGTATTTCCTGAGGGGCGCTGGATTGAGTGGGGGGTGGGGTGGGAAACACAAAAGCAGATACCTACACTTTATCCTGGGGTATGGGTATAAGCGAGTTTCACGGCCAGGAACGGGGAGTATTGAGGACTTTTTTCTGTAAAGTGGACAGTGGATCAAGTAAGGTGGAGTCTACGGTTTAATCCAAAGCACCCAGGCTGAAGCTGGGTGGGCGTTCAGCCAAAAGCCCAGCGTCCTTATAGCAGACCTGAGAAGAACGAAGAAAAGGCCCTGTAGGAGCAGAGGAAGAGACCGGAGAGCTGCGACCTGACCCACGAGAGACACCAGAGGACAGGAGAGGCAAGAAAGGCCCTAGTCCGGGGACCCCAGAGGGAGCACGGCCCTGCCACCACCTTGCTTTCAGGCTTCTGGTCCCCAGAACGCTGAGAACAGATGCCTGTTGTCGTGAATCGTGTGGTTTGTGGTCGTTTGCGAAGGCAGCCACGGGAAGTGAACACACCAGGCGCCTCCGGTGTTCTCATCTGGGTAATGGGCAGGGCTGCGGGGCGGCTCAGAGAGGATGGGTCAGCGCCTCGGGACCCACAGTCTGACCCCGCTGAGAACGAGGCTCTCTCAGGCGTGGAGAGCTGGGCTTGGCTCCTCTCAGAATCGCCGGAGCTCCCTTAAGACCACGTCTAAGAGGTGCGTGCCTGAGGTCAACAACACCTGCAGCTGGCAGGGCGGGAGCTGGGGCTCTAGGGCGGGGGTTCTCACTGGAGGGGTGGGGACCCTAGGCAACGTTAGGGGGGTGCTACTGGTTCTGAGCAGACAGAGGCAGGCAGGCATGCTGCTCAACACCCCTGGTGCACATGACAGGCCCACCCTGGAGAACGTTCTAGAACTGAACGCCGGCAGTGCTGAGGCTAGGCAGCTGGATAAAGGCTTCTGAGGAGCCCTGTTGGCTCCCTGCATGCAGATCTGCTGCCAGAGTCAGGGGGTGAAGGCCTGCGTGCATGGCCCCAAGTGGGACACATGTTCCTATGAGCATGCACATGAGTGAGCTCGCGTGTGATGAGGGCCGTGGGCAATGTCTGGTGACGTGTGTGGTTGTCATAAATGGGGGGGGGGTGTTCTAGTGGCTCTGAGTGGAGGGGGACCAGGGATGATCAACATCCTACGAGCACAGGGCAGCCCCATCACAGAGAACATTCTGGAACAAAATATCAACGGTGCTAATAAGGCTAAGGAGAAACCTCAAACCTAGAGCCATACAATCGATTCTGACTCATCTCAACCCTTAGGACTGGGTAGAACGGCCCCTGTGGGTTTCTGTTGCTCTTTATGGGAGTGGAATGCAAAGTCTCTTCTGATGAGACTCTGTCTCATCAGTGTCTATGGACGTGTTGCAGAGAAAGATCAGTCCCTGGGAAAGGACATCCTGTTTGGTGGAGTGAGAACGCGGAAGACCCTCCACAAGACGGACGAGGGGCTCAGACGTGAAGACAATGGTGAGGGTGGCACAGAACTGGGCGGTGCTTGGTTCTACTGTTCCAGGGTCACCATGAGTTGGAACTGACATGGCGAACCTAACAAGGCTGAGAAGAAGCCCTGGGATTTAGAGGTCATGCACTGCGCTGCCAACCACAAGGCCAGTAGTTCAAACCCACCTGTTGCTCCTTGAGAGAAAGATGAGGTTTGTGCTCCTGTAAAAATGTGCAGACTCAGAAACCCACAGGGTCGCTGAGTCAGAATCAGCTCCATAGCAGAGAGAGAGCTGGAGAAAGCTAAGCACGGCTTTGAGTTAAAATCACCTCAGTCCAATTAAAAGGATGTCCCATAGGATGTGCTCAGTCTCTGGGTTTAGAGTTCAGCTCGGAATGGGGGGGCAAGCCCCAAGAGCAACCAGTGAGACTCCAGAATCCCAAGGGAGCCAGGTGGGGAAGCTGTGCCCGTGCCCCCAGAGCAGTCACGAGTTCCACTGTGGGACAGCCCTTGAGGCGGGCAACACCTAACCCTGCCAGCTGTTATGCTTTCTGAGTGATGGGGAGAGCTGAGTGGTGTCCTCTGAAGGCGGTGCCGGGGCATCCTGACCCCTGCAGCCTGTGGCGGTGACCTTGTTTGGATGGAGTTGAGGATTCTTGGATGAGCTCATTCTAGACCAGACCCAGTGACAAGTGTCCTTATAGGAGAAAAAGGGCCTTGGGGTGCTAATAACAATTAGTCCAAGAATGCAGAAGGTTCCAGAACCGACTGTGGTCACGACTGCCCAGCTCTTTTTAATATATTCACACCACTGAATTGCAGGCTATGTGTGAATTTTAGGTCCACATAATGTTATTATTTTTTCCCTAATTAAAAAAGGAAATGAGAAGTCAAAGACCAGAAGCAGAGGCAGGGGTCTCGAGCTCAGGGATACCCGGAGCCACGGGGGTGGGGGTGGGGCTAGCCTGCAGGAGAATTCAGAGTTCTGGTTTGCAGGCCTGGGAGCGAGTACATCTCCGTTTCCACCACCTCGCCGTGGAATGCACACGGATGCAAGGGACCCTCCGCTGTTCTTAGAAGCTGCCCACCTGTGGTACCCGGGCTCAATTCCCGGCTGGCATGTTGCTAGGGTGCTAAACATGTTTCAGTGGCGCTTCCAGACTGAGACAGATGAGGAAGAAAAGCCTGGCAAGCCACATCCCAGAACCAGACAACGGAAACCCCACGGACTCCAACCTGCAACGAATCTATGGGGATGGCGCAGGACGCAGCATTTCACTCCACTGTGCACGGGCCAGCCCGCACAGTCACAGCTGGGGATGGCGCAGGACGCAGCATTTCACTCCACTGTGCACGGGCCAGCCCGCACAGTCACAGCTGGGGATGGTGCAGGACGCAGCATTTCACTCCACTGTGCACGGGCCAGCCCGCACAGTCACAGGTGGCCAGATGACCACCGACAACAGCATTCAGAAGTGAAAAGTAGTCTCCGAATGCTGGCTCAGGTCCAAATCCTACGTTCCCCAATCAATTTTGGAAGATGAGGCCAGAGACGAAGAGGAACAGAAAGGTGCACAGCAGGCTCGGCCTGGTTAGGCTCAGAGACTCTCACGGCAGCCTTCCAGCTGTCTGCCTGTCCCTGAGCCCAGGGTCCAGGGCAGGCTCGAAGTCAAAGGCAGCCAGGGAATAGTGTGGTCACTCCACACCCACTGTGTCCACTCTGCTGAGGGTCTCAGAGCAACTGGGGGGTGTATACAAAACACACACACACACACCCCCAGCAGTCTGCGGCCAAGACCCCACACCCAGACCCTGAGCCAGTCCATCACCCCTGGGCCTCACTAGGTGACGGCATATGACATTATTCTCAAACACCACAACCAAAAACCAACTCACTGTCATCCAATCAATTCTGACGCATGGGGACTATACAGGGCAAGGAGGAACTGCCCCTGTGGGGTTCCGAGACTCAAACTCTTTATGGGAGTAGAAAGCCTTGTATTGGTTCCGAACTGCTGCCCTTGAAGCTAACAGTCCCATGCATGACCACTGTGTCCACAGGGCTCAACATACAACAGGCCTTGCCCTAAAACCTTCCTGAATGAGGGATGCAGAATGGTCTCTCCCAGATCAGTCTTCAGAAGGCTCACCCCCAAAGACACAACCACGGCTTCGAGGTATTTGGCTAACGCATCACCCCCAGCCATCACCAAGTGACTATGTGCAATTGTTCTGAAACATACAAGTATCTCACCCTAAGGCCTGCCCGCCCGCCCCACCCTCATTTGGAAGAGGACCACATTCGGAGGGTTCACCCTCAACAACACACCAATAGCTCCCAAGGGTTTGGCCAACCCACTACCCACAGCCCTGACCAGGTGACGGCGGTACAATAAACAATTGACCTTGTCCTCCGACCCCTGATAAGTAACAGATGCTGGGTGGGTGGGCTCTTGTAGGACCACACCTGAAATGCTCTCCTGGGAGGGCACATCCAGTGTCCAGGAGCTGGGGCGACTTTTGCCCGCTGCCTCTACGGAATCCAGGGCCCACCCCTACCTGCCTGGCGTGTCCTTCCCCCGTCCGCCTCTCCCTCCTGGCGTGCCCGGGTAGGCCTGGCCTCAGCGCTCCCCCTCCCCCTGGGCCGCCCCTTACCTCGAGCACGGGCCCGGCGCCCAGGATGGTGCGCTCCACGCCGCAGGCGTAGCCCTTCTGGCTGAGCGCGGTGAGGCAGTGGATGAGGAAGTTGGTGCTCTGCGTCTTGCCGGAGCCGCTCTCGCCCGAGATGACGATGCACTGGTTGAGGCGCTTGCGCAGCATGGCGTGGTACGCCGCGTCGGCGATGGCGAAGATGTGCGGCTCCAGGCGGCCCAGCTGCTGGTTCTCGTACAGCTTCACGTACTTGGGGTTGTAGATGGGCAGGAACTTGAAGGGGTTGATGGCCACCAGGATGCTGCCGGCGTAGGTGTAGATCTTCTGCTGCAGGAAGCGCCGCTTGAGGTTGTGCAGCAGGTTGGCCTCGGTCAGCTCGGGCAGGTCGCACAGGTCGTCGAAGTCGGCCTGTTGCCAGGGCAGGAAGCCGCGCTGCACCAGGCGCCGGGCGGCCGCCGCCTGCGCCACCAGCTGCATGTGCAGGTACTTGATGGTGCCGTCGGCGTTGCGCTCCTGCAGCAGGAAGTAGTAGCCGTCGCCGCGCGGGTGCTCGTCCTGGGCGCGGCGCGGCCACAGCAGCACGCGGTGCACGGGCGAGTCATTGGCGTCCAGCACCCACTCCTCGCCGCCCGACTCCTTCACCTCCACCAGCACGTAGCGCTTGGAGCCGTCCAGGCGCAAGGTGGCGATGGCGGCGCGGATGACGTCGGACGTGGTGGTGTCCTTGGTGGCGGTCACGCGGCAGGAGGCCTGGCTCTCGGCAGACAGCTGCGGGTAGATGTGCAGGTGGTAGGCTGTCTGCTCCGGGGCGGCCCGGCCGTCCGCCTCGCTCGCGCTCATCGTGCTGCGGCTGCCAGCCCGGCCTCCGCATGCCTCGGGGCTCGGGGCGCGCCCCACGGGATCTGCAAGGGAGGGGAGGAGGAGCGGCGTCAGGGCTGCAAAACCCTGGGCCCCTGAGCCTGTGTTAGGGCTTGAAGTGTGGGTCCCCTCCCAAAGACGGGCGTAGCATTCTGCGGAAATTCCCAGCTGGAGCAAAAGAGCTTGCGCCCTGCTGTGCGCCTAGAGACTGGTTTAAAACCACCCGGCGGCGGTGTGGTGGGTACACACTGGGCTGCTAACACCAAGACCAGCAGTTCCAAACCGCCAGCAGCTCCGAGGGAGAAAGACGAGGCTGCCAACTCCTGTAAAGGTTACAGTCTTGCTTAGGGGCATTGCGTTCATTCTAACGGGAGTGGGGCAATCTGGAGGATAACACCCATGGTTGTACACCACGAAGTGTAATCGATGGCACTGAATTACACAAGTTGTTGAAATGGTGAATGCTTTGTTGTGTATATTTTTGCCACAATAGAAAAAAAGTCCACCAATAACAATGAGTCCGTGGGGGGGGGGGGGTGGTTCTAAAATTGACGATGGTAAAGATTGTACAACTCTTATTGATCTGGTTGAGTTTCTTTGAATTTGTATGATTTGTGAGGGAATTGCTAATAAAACTGCTAAAAACAAAAAAAGAGTGAGTCTTGGACACCCACGGGGCAGTGAGACTGGCATGGGGCCACTGTGAACTGGCATTGACTGGATGGCAGTGCGTCTGGTTTTGGTGAGCAGCACGTGGAAGAAAGGCCTGGTGATCTGCGTCTGCCATGCTGTGTTGGTAATCGTGTGCCAACTCCGACTCGGCAAACCCCACGGGGCAGCTCTAGTCTCACATGCAGGGCGGCCCCGTGCCAGACTCCAGTCGATGGAAACGCTCAACAGTAAAAACATAGCAGGGGCAGAACCTACCTATGGGAGGTTCTGGGGAAGAGTAGAAGGCTTGGGCTGGACTACTAACAAAGTTGGCTGGTTGAAGCTACTGTGGAAGAAAGGCCTGGCAACCTGGTTCCGGTGAGATGACGGCCAAGAACACCCTAACCAAATGCAGGTCTGTTCTGGAGCACACGAGGTCACCGTGCATCAGGACCCGGTGCACAGAAATGGGTATTAACCTACAGGCTGGCAGTTTGAGTGCCCCCAGCAATGCTGCGGAAGAAAGGCTGGGCGCTGGGCACGCTGACCAGCTTCGGCCAAAGAAGCCCTGAGGCAGTCTAGTTCTACTCCGGAACACAGGGTTGCCAAGTGTCGGAAGGGGATTTTGTATCTGTGGGCATAATCCTGTTTGGTAAGTGGTTTCCTTGCCTCAGCGGGTGACATCATCATCAGCGCAGATGCCATCAAATTGATGCCCTTTGGTAGTGGCAATACTGAGGTTGACTATTGTAGACATGTAGAACTCTTCGAGTCTTAGTTACATAGAACCTTAGTGGCTGGAAACAAACCTCACTCGGCGTTCAGGGAGACGACGGGTTAACCAGCCTTCCCATCATATTTCGCTGCCATGTGTTTTTTATTCATATTGAAATCTCTCTGGCGTTTTCCCAAGCTAGTGTGTGAAAGGCTTCTGTAGGCCATCACTATACAGCACCCTGCAACCTAAGGGCTCTTCCAGTCACCCCCAAACTGGCAAGACATCCAAAACATGCCTACCCAACAGTCCGGTTTTATCTCTGCCCAGGACGCTGGGTGTCAAGGTACGTCTAAGCACAGGTACATACAAGCAACACGAGCACAGTCAGCAGATCTCTGAGAAGTAGACATGGCAGACCACCATGAAGCCAGTGCCACCCTGGCTACATTACTCTCCTGGGGCTCCGGGTGGAAAAGAAGTGCACACCCCTCTTGCCCTTCCTAGTTCTCGCCCCAAACCTTTGACTTTCAAGATACACAAAGAGCAGACTAAGCTGGGAGGTGCCAGCTGCCCTGGACAGGAGGGCACATGCCACGTGGGGACTGATGGGGAGGCCAGGCTGAGTGGGCTGAGACAAAGTGTGCCCCCACCCCTCGCCCCTGCCCCGCCCCCGCAGACAGAGAGCTGGGGCCCGGAATCTGGACCTCTGGGCTGCAAGTAAGTGAATTTCTGTTCCTCAAAGCCACCCACATGTGGCGTGTGTGTTCCGGCAGCTCCAGGAGACTCACTCAGGCACTGGGAAATAAGGGTTTCCTTGTGGCATTAAGAAGGCCATGTCAGGGGAGGGCGGGTCCTAAAGCAGTCACTTCAGAAAAAACGCAGACTAGATACAGAGACATACGTGGGGGCAAAGGGGGCAGGGCAGATGTCGTGCGAAGAAGTCAAGGAGCCTAGGCCTGACTGCTAATGGCAGCTGAAATAGACAAGGGGGCCGTGCTCTGAGCGTGTCCAGGACATGGGACAATGGGTCTGTTCTTTAAAGTCACACACTGGTAGGGTTTGTCAGAGCAGCAGTGAGAGACTGAGACAGAGAGGACGAGGTGACCCTGATGCCGGCCCCTGAATGAGCTGCAGGTCCTGCAGGCATGGGGCCCTGGGTTGGAAGGCCCTGCCTTGGCCAGACACTGCCCCGAGGCCGGAAATGACAGCAGGACTCCTGGGACTTCACCTAAAGGTCCTAGTCCTGCAAGCCAGACCAAAGCCTGCCCTGTGACCTGCAAGGAGGACCGTGCTGGAGAGGGCCCTTGAGACCCTCAGGGAGGAGGTCGGGGGATGGGAGAACTGCCAAGCTCCTGGGGGCGCAAGGCAGGGCTGGGGAGAACTCTTCAAGACCCCTGAGAGAATCACTCCTAGGGCTCAGAGCCCAGCACGAGAGTGAAGTCAAATAGGCCAATAAATGCTGGAGAACGTTTCAGGGGAGCAGGACCATCTCACAGGGGTTCTGAAGGATGAAGAGGAGTTTGTGCAGCTGGTGAGCAAACAGGAGGGGGGCAGGATGTGGTAGGTTCATCAGCTGTCCTCAGAGCTTTACTGCAGCACCTTCCCTTCATTTACATATCACCATTTACATATTTCCCCCTTCCCAGCTGAGCTAGAACAGCTGCAGAGATGCCAGCGAGGCCCACAAGGCCCTCCTCCCACAAGGCCCTCCTCCGGGAGGAGGCATGTATACCCAAAGACTCAGGTATGTGTGTCCACAAGTGTCCACAGCAGCACAAGGTGGGGACAACCAACAAAGTGTTCACCCAGTGGGACACCCCAAAGGTCCACACACAAGCCACTGCCGAGGAGTGGATTGTGACTCTCAGCGACCCTACGGGGCAGACTAGAACTGCCCCCGAGGGAAGGCTGCCACATCTTTCTCCCCCAGAACTGACCCCGAACCACCAGGGCTCCCAATGGCCCCCAACTCAGGCTGAAAGGGGAACGAGGCCCAGACTCCGCTTCCCTGGGAGGAGCCTGGAGAGGGCAATGCTGGACGGAAGCAGCAGGCAGAAGAGGCAGCACCGTGTCCCATTCCTCCGAGACGGGCAGTGGGTGCGCGGCTGCCAGGGCTTGGGGAAGGGGAGAAAGGAGTGGGATGGAGAGTGACTGCTAATGGGCGTGGGCCTTTCTTTGGGGGATGAGGACGCTGTGGAACTAGACAGAAATAGTGGCTGCACAACACCGATAGACTAAATGCCACCGAATCATCAGCGTCAGGTGCTGCTGATTTAGACTCACGTACACCCATGGGACAGAGGGGAGCCGCGCCACAGGGTTTACTAGGTGGTGACCTTTACCGCAGCAGATTGCCTGGCCTTCCTTCCTTGGCGCCACTGGGTGAGCCCGAACCACTGACCTTGCAGTTACCAGCTGAGTGCTTGCCAGTGCACCACCAGGACTCGTGTGCAGCAATGACAGCTCCTTAAGGAAAGGTGGGGCTTTCCATGCCTGTGAAGAATGGGAGACGGAAAGTCCCAGGAAACAGTTCCACCCTGTTCTGCAATGTTGCCATGAGTCAGAATCGATTCGATGACAGCGAGTTTTGTTTTTGTTTTTGAAAATTGTTTAAAAATAACTATGTGATAACAATGAGTACGGAGAAAAAGAGTGTTCTAAAACGGATTGTGGTAAAGACTGTACAACTCTTCTTGATATGCTTGAACTACTGCATTGTACGGTATATGGATGAAGTGTAAAATGGTTTAAAATAAAAACAACTACGTGGGTTGCGAGGAGCTCTGGTGGTGTAGTGGTTATGCCTTGGGCTGTAATATGCAAGGTCTGCAGTTCGAAACCACTAGCCACTCCTGGGAGAAAGATGGCACTTTCCACTTTTGTAAAGAGAGCTACAGGTTCAGAATCTCATAGGGGTCCCTATGGGTCACCATCAACTCAATGGCAGTGAGTTTGGTTTTTTATATGGATGGAGGAGAGACGCATTCCCCCTGCAGTTGAGTAAAAAAGAGAAGAAAAAAAATATATATATACACACACACACACACGTGTGTGTGTTTGTAAGATTCTATATATATGGCTCTTATTTTCAAACCGTGAAGCTCTGTAGCTAGGACACAATCCGAGGAAATGGTTTGAAATCTGTGACGGTGTCAGCATAGTACGGAGCCACGTGAGCAAGCTCCGGAACACCGTGGGGGACACTGCGAGGCCCTGAGGCATTTGCAGAGACCACGGGACTTCGGAGCTACAGCATGGCTATCGCCACAGAAATCCATGTTTGTGTGCACATCCATGCAGGCACATGCCGAAGCACACACACAAACACATGCACTTCATGTATGCAAACTGGAGAGCATAAGACTCTCATGCTAGTACACAAATATGTGTGCAGATACTCATGGAGACACATGTGCATCGATGCACACACACACAGTGACACATGCAGCCACAGACTATGTATAGATACAGGCATGCATAAACAACATGGAAACACATGTGCACACGGGCATAAGAGTACATGCTCATGCAGACACACAAATAAATGCACACACAACACCCCTGTACACAGTGGCATATGTACCTGCAAGCATATACCTGCTCACACATATGT